TTTTATCTTTAAAAAATAAGTTTTTAAAAATGGTATGCAACAAAGCTAACTTTTCTAAAAAGGTTTCTTAAATGTTACTTGTTAAGGTGGAAAGTTAGAAATAAATTCGGAAGAAAAAATGAGAAAATTGTCCTAACATCATCTTGGAAAAAAAAACAAAGAGTAAAATAAATGTATGTTTAAGCCTCAAAATATTCTATTATATATAATTATATATTATTTAACATAAACTTATTAAAATTTATTCAAAATAATTATTAAATAAAGAATAAATAAAACAAACCAAAACACTATAACACAATTAAATCACAAAAGCAATGCACTTTTCTATATAGCTTTTTTATATATTTAAGATTTGAATTTCGCTATGTTTTCCTCTTCTTTGCTTTTATTTTTATTTATTTTATTATTTTTTTTATCATAGAGTGTTGTATTTTGTTTTGAAACCATTTTGTATTGTATTTTTTTTGGTTCAGGATCAGGTTTAGGTCAACCACTGACAAATTCTAATTGAACTCCATTGCAATTGGCACCGCCAAAGGCAGCAGGATGTTGGCAAGGGAGGAAAGTAGTTAGATTGCAAAAGAAAAAAGCATGGAGGCAGGAGGCAGGGTGATGGCTGGGTTCATCTAGGGGGGAGTCTTGTTTGAAAGGAGCTTAGCAAGCCGAGACAAGGCAGAACAAAAATGTTTAGTTACAGTCGAATGACGTCTGTCCGGGCAGCCTATTCGCCTACTTTCAAACATCTCGGTGCTCTATTTTACACTGAACCAAATGTATAATTGTTTATTAATAGGGTAGAGAATAGGGAACTAAATTTAATACATAATAATAGGGAACTCATTCATATATTTGAAATGTTGGTTTTATTTTATAAAGATTAGAAAATATTAACCATAGAACTACAATTTATTTAAGAATTAGTAAAGCTCTAACTTTCCAAGTATTTTTGTATGCTTTTTAATTTACAAAAATATCCTAACTATGCTGTATTTATTTAATTTGAATATTTTCTTTTTTTAATTTAAAATTTTAAGTTAAAGGTATTTTAATAAAAGAAAATAATGAATAAAATATTATAACAAACAAAAATAAAAAAAGACTTAATAAAAAAAATATTTAAATAAAATCTAAACCAAAAATACTAAAAGCTACTAAAAATACTTTTGTTAAGCTTTTTATGATATTAACTTTAAATCCCTCCTTGCAAATTGTCACTCATTTCTCTCAGTGCTTATAAGAACTGTCAAAATTCGAATGCATTTCTGTAAAGGTAGCCAGAGGCAAAGGGAAAACGGGGAAAAAGGGTTGGATTGGCCGGAATGTGGGACCAAGGGGGAGTGGAAGCTTGGGGAGTTGGTCAAGTGAGGGCAGGGCCGTGCAAAAAAGGGGACTTTAAGAGGGATTGGGGGGCACAAGGGTTTGAGGACTTAGGCAGACAAACAAACACCGCAAACGTGAGACGAACCGTTGATGATGACAACCGCACACACACACACACACAAAACATACACAGAGAGAAAAAGGTAAGCCGCTGGTCATTCGTTGATTGTCATATATTCTCGCCCTTTCCCCAATTTTTGGAGCTAGCTCTCTTCTCTTCCCTCGATCAGTGGAATGCCAGGCAACCAATTAGGTGACCCTGTATGACACTAGTATATGGAGTGTCCTCCTCCCCCTTTCAGTGGGTCGCCGCTGCAGGCCATCTACCGCCCACCGCCCTTTGCTTTTTGACAAGAGGGGTCACAAATGTCACTGAAAATGTAAAGTTTTTCTTGGTTTTGTGGGGTTTTTGGGAATAAGAGTCGTTTTGTTAAGTTTGGATTAATATTTGAAAATTTTAAAAATAATTTTTATTATTTAATTTATAGCGATATTTCAGATATCGTTTAACAAAGTTTATCAGTTTTGTGTCATAAATCGTTTTCCAACACTAGTTAGTTTTCAAACAGCAAAAACTCGATTGCCAATAAGTTCTTATTTCGAAACTGTATCATTTGGTTTTATAATAGTTGACTTAGTTAACATATTAACGGTCTTTAAAGTTTTATTTTAATTAATATAAATTTTTAAAACAATATAGGGTATCCATAAAACGTTACATCTGAAAAGAAAATATTTGGATTTTTGGTTTTTAACATTGCATCCTTCAGTTTTTCATTTTCATCGCTGGACGCACATTTGTGGTGGCAACTCGGCTTGCCACTCACTTACTTGCACATTGATGCTCTTGAACTCCATTCAGGCACTGAAAAAAACGGGTAATTAAAAAATATTATATATTTTACACGTACAACAAGAAGAGTTAAATTACTCTTCCATGAGTTTTTTTGTATTTAAAACTTTTATAAAAAAAAGCTGTACGTTTTTCTTTAGTGTTTTTGAGCTGCAGTTGCAGATAAAGTTACAGTTGTTGTTGCACCAGCTGCAGTTGCAGTTGCAATTGTTGCTGCAGCTGTTGGCCTAATGAGAGTGGCCAGCAATGCGGCACGAATCGTCGGTGGCAACATCGGGCCAAATAATCAGCATATGTCCGGCGGAAGTAAAGTTTCCTTCATTTTCATACCCACCTCCTGCCTCTCCTGCAGGAGAGCATCCCTTAAAAAAAATATCTCATTTCATTATATTTGACTGGCAATGAGTTGACAGTTGAACAGAAAATTTGAATATTTTTCGCACACAGTACTACTTTAAAGAACTTTGATGGATTTTTGTAAGGAAAGTGTTTAAAAATATATAGGGTTTTATTTTTGTATGATTATTTTATATAGAATCTTACTAAATATTGGTTTCAAAACTTGTATTATAAAAGTTAATTTATAGAATGAAAAAAATTTTATTTTGTAAACGTTTTTGTGTAAAATTATATTGTAATAACTTGCCATTTTTACTCTTCTTCGAAGAAAGTAAAGTTTTGACTTTCTAAAGTTCTAAAATTTCATCTTGAGTAAAACCTTTTTTTAATGAAAGACAATTAAATACTATCCTTTTTTTTAATAATGTCATTAATTTACAAATATATTTATAAAAATAATTATTTAAACACACTTATTTTTCCAAGTTAATTTTTTAAAATTTAAATTATTTTATTTAAACAAATAAATAAGAGAAAAGTTCAAATGCTCACCGGCCGAAAAAAAAATCAAAGATATAAATACAAATGTATGGAAAAGGACATGTTTTGTTCATATGTGTGCTTGTGTTTCTGTCCGTATCTGTATGTGTGTGTGAGTGTGTGTGCGTGTATGTGTAAATACGTCAACAATTTTGTGCAAAGAAGGATTTCAATTTCCTTTAAGCGGAAGCGCGCTGTCAGTTTCGCATTTTGCGCCACAAATCATCAACTCTATCTGGCTTCTCTGTCCCTGGCCGTGGACTTTCCACCGCCAGATACCAGATATATTGCAACAACACATACTGCACTCGAAAAAGTAGGAGGATGGTAGGAGACTATAAGTCAGTGGGGGAAAGGGGGGTATTGGGGTGCGGAGGGATGGAGTGGCAGGAGCAACAGCTACACATCATCCATCCATCCATCTAACAATAAGCGTCCAGCAAAAGCAACAGCTCCTACGTCGACCCATCCGAGCCATCCATCTAGTCAGCCATCAGTCAGTTTGGGCCACTTTTTTTTCATTGCAACTTTCAAATGCACTGAAAAAAAAAAAATACAAATTAGGCAATTTTTTGGGGCTGTATTGAATCATTTTTTTTTGAATATTATGTGTGGTTTGAATTTTAAAAAAATAATAATCTTTTGCTAATTTTGTAAAATTTTTAATATAAGACTTAACAATTTTATGCGATTACATATGTACATATTGCAAGCCTTGAAATTTTGTTATACTCTAGTTTAAATAATAATATGAATCTTATTATTTTTTATGTTAAATCTTTTCTCTTTTGAATGAGAATAAAATAAATACTCAAAAGTCTGTAAATAATAGTATATGTATGCCCTAAAAAATGCTAGTTAGTTAGTTCTCTTTTTTTAACTCATAATTTTTTTTTTTCAATTTATAACTAAATTATTTTTTTGTTACATTTTAATTTTATTTTTTTTCCTTTAATTTTGTTTCTTACAATTTTTGTGTTAGTAGAAGCAGTGTTTGCTCTGGCCTTTGGTTCTGGCTCTGGCAGACAGAGCGTGAGGTAGACCAGGCTTGGGTGAATTTATAGCAAAATGTCAACAGTTGCCGCGTAAATATGTAAAATTGTTTGTAAATAGCAATTTCGTTTTTGAGGCCCTCCTCTCCATGCCCCCATCTGCCAGAAAAAAAAAATAGAAGCAAAATGCAAACGAAAAGCGTCAATCGAGTTCAAACGTCGAATGTGTGGGAGAGCAAACTTAATTTACCTTCAATTTCGTCAGAGATGAGGTGTTCGGGGCCGTTCGGGTAATACAAAATTGAAGATTTAAGAATTAGATACAAACAATTTATAGTAGAACACATCTTTGTTATAATTAAAGTAAAATAAATTAAGAGAATGAGCTTGGTATTTATTTTCTTTTTTAATTTAAAATTTTAAAAAATATCCTTATTTCATAAGGATAAAATAATGAAATATACAGGCACACTGTATATGTACAAGTGCATAGTATGACCGGAATCTGTGGAGTATATCTTATAGCTATGTGGGTAAAAAAAAAAAGATGTTAAGATGAATTCTTTAAAAATTGTTATATGAAGAACTTACCAATTTTAGTAATTAGTAATTTAGTTGTAATAATAATAATAAACCGATTATTTTTGTTATAACTTTACTGCCACAAAACAGTTATTGTTTCTTAAATTTGGTCAACGTCCAAAGGAAATCATTATCCAGCGGCTAAGTATTTTTAAGTCTTGGCTAAGCCTGAAATGTCTGAAATTCAATATTTTGGTTTCCGACGCTCCAGTAAAAATAATTGCTTTCGATTAATCGTAACATATTTTATTTGGAAGTTTTTGTCAAATAGCAGTTTATCAAATAATCGTGTAACTATATTTAAGAAAATAATAATAATTACATTCTAGTGCATATATATATCCTGTATTCTTTTCAAAAATAATTCACTTTCTGAGGCCGTTTTGAAATGCTGTTTTTTGTCGTCAATCTCTTCTTCGGATGAACATGATTAAGTAATGAAATTCGACGTTTAAAGTACTATAAAATGGAATAAAAACAATTATTTCATGTTAGTTATTTTAAAATTTTCAGTTGGAGATGAAACGAAAGAAAAAACAAAATTGGAATATACACACCTCATGTCAGGATCGAACCACCAGCCATAGCCCAATTCCTTCGCCACATTATGATCAGGAACTCCATCCTCGTCTCGATCGAAGGTCGAAAATTTGGAACCCAGCTTAGGGGCCAGCCAGGCGTCTCCAGTACAATTGCTAATAGTTTTTACTTTGTAGCCTTCGGTTCGATCGCCTACAACAAAATTGTCACATCTTTTTTCATTTCCATTGGTCAATAAAAGCACTTCATAAGGCTTTCCACTGGTCAGACGGTGCAATTGATTGAGTCCAATAAAGAATTCAAAGTAAGTATTAATATCGCCGAATCCACTTTCAAAATCCTCATACGTGCCGTTAAATTTTCGTGAAATAAATTCTTTTGCATAAACATTCATCCATCTAGATCCTAAATTCGAATTTGAATAACAAAGCACTTTAAACGGGTCTGAGCCTGGTAGTTTGATTTCGCGAATGACTCTGGTTTCATTTTGGCTTCGTGGACAAGAATCTGGAAAATCTGAAAAATTCGATGTTTTATTTTTCAAATGATTGGGGTCCGCGACTTACCTATGGTTTCTGTTTTCGGCGTCGTCTGATTATTTATATGAGCCTGTTGATTTGTTAAGACTCCTTCAGCTTTAACTATTTCTCCAAATTTGTCAATGTCTGTGCTGAGTTTATTTGTCAACGTTGCAAGTTCACTTTTTTCTTTTAGTTCCCTAATATGATCTTTTAGAAGTTCTATTTCTTCACTTTGTTGATGTATTAAAGCTTTTAGATTGTCAACTTCCTGCTGCTTCGAATGCAACTCTGCATATTTATCTTTCTCATCCATAAGTTGTCTCAGCAATTCGGAATAATCCTGTTGCCATTTTGATATCTTGGCATATTTTTCGAGACGCTCGTTCTGCAAGTCTGTGTGGCACTTTAAGAGCTGAGTATCATTTTTGTGGCACTACTCGAAGTATAGTTTTACGTTTGAATTTTAATTACTTTTCAAAATAAAACACTCAAAGAGTCTATTACTTACTTCTTCCGATCCCAGGGTGACAGGAAGGAGGATAAAGGCACCAAGGAGGGCCACTGGGAAGATCATCTTGTATTTTTTGTATTGAACTGAAGGTTCTACTGAAAGAATCTCTGGGAATATTTCAACTGATGCTGCGAGTCTTGAAGCTCCGGCTTTTTATAGCCATCCTCGCCCATGAGCTTGAGCTTTAGTTTCAAGCTTGGAAATTGGAATATACCCTTACATATAGAAAAGCCAAAAAATTTCACAGACAGAACTTGTCAAAGGTGATGTCAAAGGTTATTGGAGATTAGAGAGAGGTGATTAGCAACAAACACTTGTTTATATTCTTCCTCTCTAGATCTGTAACAGCTCAGTTATAACTTAAACAAGTGTGTACATTATTTAATAAATCATAAATTATTATAGGTAAAACCGAAATGGAAAGTACTTTTTAAATAACGACTTAGGCACATTATTCTCAAGAATTATAATATCATAATTACCATAATAATAGTATTGTTATAAACTAATACATAAAATCTTTTCGTTGCTTGTATATATAACAAAAAAATAATTATATCGGATGTATTTATTTTTCTTAGAAGATTCTATAACTAAAAATAGAATCTTTAAGACCTATAATAGATTCTACTATCGAATAAAACTTTTCTCTGCATAGGTTAGAGATTAAAGTGGTTATATATTCAAAATTTACTAAACTTCCAAGGTCTTTCCCATCTGAATCGGAAACTTTCCGATTCATTCGATTCGACCCGATTCTATATAGTTAAGAGATAAATATTCTAATATTATAAAAAGTCACCTCATAAAAATGTTCAAAATATTCGGCAGACAGAATACGTACGTATGTCGATGTTTATTACAGATAAGGGAAATATACCCACATATAGATTGCTTTTTTTATAGACTAAAATGACGCATTTGTTTAAGCTTGAAGCTTGATGATGTTTGTTAAGTAATTGACTTAACAGTATATATATTAATAATGCATTTAATTATAAATATAAATATTAAAATATGCATATACTATTACAAGTTGTTACTGAGCTGTTGCGTTTACTAAGTTTATAAATTTTATTGCCTTATTTTTATTAATTTTTGCTTACTTCAATTTTTTTTATATAAAATGTCTAGCTAGAGACATTCACTTCCTCCCTTTGGTAAAACACTGACTAAGGCCTTCTAAAATCAACAAATTCGAAATTGAAATAAAAACGAATACGTTGTTAATATTTTTAGGGAAAAAACTCCAGGTTAGGGTTCAGAAAATCCTAAGAATCACCAACAAATACCATTTACCTTTGTTTCATAACAAAGTAACCCTAGAAACATTCATCAAATCCCTATCTGAGAACTGGACTTTCGGAGAGATTATTTCTCATTAAAATTTCAAAGTAAGCTCTATCCTCTGCCGTTCCGCCCGCCCTCCAGATTCCCAACCAAACAAACACAGTTTGAAAAATTTTTATAGGTAAAAGTAGATAGAATACGAATACCCTTAGTTTCAAAGAGAAGAGACTAGAAGTGTGCAGTGTCGAAGGTGAAGAAAAGTTCGGGAAAAATGAGTGTCGACAAACAGATACAGCCGCCGGGCTTTGATTTCGATCTCGAACGGGGATTGGAGAAGGAGATGGAGAAGGAGGAGGATGCTGCCAGCACATCCAAGATGGTCCTGGAGGAGGACACCAGCTCCTTGCTGGCGGAGGCCATTGGTACGTGGGATCCCGTATGTGTCGGCGAACTGAGCCGTAATACTAGTCTCACCACGGTGAGCAGTAGTTTCCCATTGTCCGCCAGGATCGTCAGTCATCATCGCTGGGAGTCAGAGTCTGAATATTTGAGACAGGCAAGTCCAGAGAGTAGCTGCAAATGCCAGCTACGAAAAAAGGGAAATCCAAACTCAATGACTTCCAAATAATTTCCATTAATAATATCCAAATTTATATTTTAAATATTTTCGATTTAAAAATTATATAACGAATGGATTGGCAAATAAATTTCAAGTTTAATTTTGAAACGAGCTATGTTCTTTTTTTTTTTTTTAAAGTATCTCCGAAAATCAGGTTCTGTCTTCTGGGCCTTCTCTTCGGTTGTTAGCCCTTTCCTTCCTGGCTGTCAACGACATCCGGGCACGCCCCCTGCAGCCAACAGCAGCCAGTTGCCCCTTTTTTCTGGTCAGCAACCTTGATGGCTGGATGTGCGTTAATTGATTGTTCGTCTGGACCATCATTATCGACATTCTGGGCGGCGACTTTGGAGCTGCCACATCTGCCTTGGGGCGGGTGGCATGGTTCTGGTTTTGTTTCTGCCACACATTCGGGTGTAGCGAGGGGGAGGTGACGGAGGCGATTTGTGATGGACAGCAAAGGGGGTGGGATTTTAGGTGGTGGGGAAGGGGGTGCGTCCTAAAGGATTTAAGGGGGCAGTGGCAGGAAGAATACCAACAGCCAGCATTCAAGGAGAAAGACCGAAAGAGTGCTGACAACTATACACTTACAGAAAATGGGTTTAAGCTTTGAACTTTTTATGATTTTACTTTAAATTTTATTTAAAAATTACAGTTTTTAAAATTTAAGCAACTTATATGAAAGATATATATATTTAATTAATTTAAAGACCTTAAAATAGCTTTTTATATTAAAACTAGATTGTTTTAGTAATATAACTTTAATAGCTTTTTTCTAATTCTGACTAATAAAGTCTAATAGTTTTAAATTTAACAATAAATTCAAATACATATAACTTTAATAACTACTATCTCTTTTTTATTAAAAACTAGTTACTTTTTAATAAAGCTTTCCAAAAAAGTCGATTTTTGTTTCAAAGCCATAACCATTTTTGATCCACGAATTCTCGTGAATTTGTCTGAATAATTTTCCATCATAAAAATCGCCAATACAACACGCTTTGATTTCTAACATTTTTTTCGTCACTGGTGTTTTTTTTTTTTATTGTTGCGAAACCTTACAAAAGGCCGCAAAATGTTTCGATTTTATCACATATCCAATATCGATACTTTTTGATACGCATTTCGCTTTCGAAGAGCCAGCCTGCTCCAATGAAAGAGAGGGGTACAGAGTGAAAGAAAGAGAGGGAAAGAGAGGGAAAGAGAGAGAAAGAGAAAGAGGGAGATGGGGGATAGATAGATAGAGATATGGCAAAAATCGGCATTGATTGTCCGTCCGGTTCATTGCAATCGCTGCAATTTAAGCGGGCAAACTTTTTGGCTCACTTTTTTTTGTTTTTTGGCCTACATAGAACACGGATATGAAATGCTCTATCTCTGGCCATCTCTTTCTCTAGCATAGAGCCATCTCTTTCGGCAGTGTTTCCCCCATCCCTGTCTCACCGCAGTAGAACTTTTTTAATACGCAACACGAGTGACCCGCTTGCGGACAATTGGAATTGTAACTTTTGATTAAATTCGTTGCAATGGCAACCGGGTGAAAAATCGAACGAGTGAAAAAAATGAAAAAAAAAAAAATAAAAATAAAAATGAGTGGAACGGACCTGAAACGGTGAGGTTCTGGAGAAAAAGTGAAAAAAACCTGGAGAAAAACAGCCCCGGAACAAGCCAAAGGATAAACTTTTTTTGCGATGAATTTTCAATTGCATTTGATTACCTTGTTGCGTGGGGCGGACATTCTTTTTTTTTTTTGTATTTTTTTGAGAAACTCCTGTTGCTCCCTATGAGCCATTCACCATTCTCCCATCTCTTTCACTTATCATCTAGCCATCTCTTTTTTCTTCACTCAAGGAAGACGTAATACGTACGAACGTATTTCAATAAAGTGCGCGCCTCGGCAAGTTGTTTATATTTGGCCAGCACTTCTGAAATCAATTCCAAGCCAAAAAAAAACTATTAAAAATATCAATATATAGATATTCAATACTTATTATTTTTCATCCAACTAAAAGTATATATATATTTTTTGTATGATTGTTATCTAGGCTTTCGTTTCATAAAAACAATTTTCTGTAGAAACGCATCCCCATACCCATCGAGGCAAATATTTGCATTTGGAAAATGCACAAAATAAATATATACATTTATTGTCCAGACCAGACCTTCAAGCTATTGTAAATATAAATACATATATCGGAAAAAAAACTATTAATATTTCATTTTGAAGAATTGATGTTCAATTTTTTGGCTAAATATTTGTAGAACCCTGTTGCAGATAATCAAACATTTGTTATTGATTTCAGTTTTTGCAACATTGTTGATTTTGATTATTTTGTGGAGAATTAAACTATCTTTTCAGATTAAATTTTTAAATAATTTTCTTACCACTTTTTAGCATTTTCTTCCCTTTTTTGACCGATTTTTTTCACTTTGTGCACACTTTTTTGCAATTAGGCGAAAAAATTCAAATTCAAATCAATAGACAAGGCAAACTTTGCTGCAGCACGTCGCTTCAAGATGTCTGCATATAAAGGATATATATTTGTGTGTGTGTGTGTGTATGTGTGTGTGTGCAGGATGCAGGACACCCAGTCCAAGACCAAGATCCAAACCAAACGGAACCAAAACCGAACCAGACCAGGCCAATTGGCCAATGCCACTGGCTCCGTACGTGTTCGTCCAAAATAGTCCCGCTACGGGTACGTCCATTGCCTTTAAATACACTTGAAAAAAAAAATAGATAAATTGGAATAAAATAAAATAAGAATTATATTTTTAAAATGAGTACTAAACAAAACAAAAATATAAACAGAAGGCCTTCTTAATTCTAAAGTCTTGTAATAATTTTTAACGAAATAATTTATGAAATTTAAGAATTATTATTTCTTATTAATTCTATTTTATAAAAATATTCTTTTTTGAGACAATATTTGGAACTATTTTCTAAGTTACTTATGGTTTCCATTTTTTTAAAGTACTCTAGCTCTAGCTTCAGGATGTTTTTACAAAAAACGAAGCTTTTCTCGAGGTTTATTTATTTCAACAATTATTTTTTAAGTTACCTGGTACCTGGTTCGTTCTTTTCCCTAATTAAATTCTAAAATGTAATTATTTCATTCTGTTTTTTTTTTATATAATTTATTTATGCTTTAAATATTTTATAGATTAGAACAAATATCCATAGAATCCAAATCTATTTCCAACGTGCACTTTTTCATCTAGAGCTTGAGCCAGAGATAGAGGAAAGTGAAGTGAGGTAGAAGCCATAGACTAGCCGGGTGACGGGAGGGTGTGGCAGTGAGCCTGGGAGCGGGCAGCATCTCCCCAAGGAGCCGCTGCAACAAGCGAAGATGCTGAAAGGACATGCAGGATCTGGAACTGAGCCTGATTCTGGGACTGACGTCGGGGCTAATGTGATTTCGTACGTTCAATTTGTGAATTGCCTGGAACACACGTACTGGGCGTTTTTAAGGGGTGGAGGGAAGGGCGTGGGCCAACAAAAAAAAAATAAAGGAGGCGTGGTCGATGGGTTGAGGGAAGTGATGGCAGGAGCTGGGGGTCAGAGGGTACAACGACATATGCATAACTACGTGGCATGTGCATTTTGTCGGCTGCTTTCTTTTCTTTTCATTTCTTCGCAGGGCTACACTTTTGTTCCTTTTGCTGTTTGGTCCTTTTTCGTCCTTTTTGGCGGCAGCTTGCTCATTGTCGTGCAACAATTTAACATTACAATGCGGGGCAAGGACTATGAAAAAGATACGAGTCAAAAGATATCCTAGAATGTACATAAGTCATAGATTTACCCCCAAAATGGGGTTTACATGGAGGTATTTAGCATACCAAAAATATTACTATATTACTATATTTTTGGTATGCCATACTTAATATTGATTTAAGTATGATTTTCTAATCATACTAATATATTCTAATCATATTTCCATACTAATATTGATTTTCAAACTTTTTATTCAATGTGTATCTTGAATTCTTAGATATTTTGATTTAAGATTAAGCCATTAATTTGTTTTTAAGATTTTTAATTGAAAAAATTTAAAGGAATTCAATTTAAAAAGAATGTCTATCGTACAAAACATAACTATATCATACCTGGTACTTTTCTCTTCAAATTCCCGCACAATTTTCCTTTTTTTCTACGAGTACCGGGTATAAATATTATCTATTTATTTTTCTAAAATACCTAAATTATTATAAAGAAACTATTCATTTATTAAAAATATATAGTATTCAATAAAAATATGAGCAAGTCATGTGTGACTCATAATCCTTTTAATAGTATTTTTTTTCTTTAGCATTTTTCCATATTTTTTAATTAATTAAAAATTTGTAAAATAATATGAATGATCTGCCACTACCCCAAACCAAAAAAAACTCCCATCAAGGGTATAAAAAACAGCAGACCTCATGGTAACAAAGCTGCTGTCGGCAACATGATTACCTACAGCCATAGAATGAGACGGGTAGCACAGACCAAGAAAGAGAGGGAGCGATGCAGAGGAGTGCAGAGTGCAGACTGCAGTTGAATGCAATTCGAGTCGAGTTGAGTTCAGTTGAAGTTCTGAATCAGAATCAGCATCAGAATCAGTATCTGGAATGCCAGCTGGAGTCGGCTGGAGTTTTCGAGTTAAATGTAAGGCACTGTGCCAGATACACGCCGAAAGAGAGATGGCACTGCCACACTCACACACACAAAGAAAGAGATAGCCTTATAGAGGGAAAGAGAGAGAGAGGGAAAGAAGGAGAGAGAATGCGGCAGGAACATTTTGCATTAAAATTAAGGCAAATTTATAATGAGCCAAAATTGTCGTTGCGATGCAATCACCGCAATATATAATATATGATGCATATAGTAATATGTATATACATATATATATGTATATATGTGTGTGTAGTGTGGTGTGTGTGCGCCAGGACGTGACTCCCAACTCCTGATTTCTGATTTCAGTTCCTGACTCTGTCCGGTCTCCAGTCGCTGGCATTTTCCTTGTGTTCTGCCTGAATGTCGTGGAGTCCTGGGCCCATTATATTGGGATAATTTATAATTTGTTCATTTAAATCATTACAAAGGACCTTGCAGCCGAAAGGATGACAAGACAGATCTGATTGTGTGTGTGTAAGTACATCTTATATGTATGTTTGGGCATGAATATATTTAATGTTCAATAAAAATATATATTATGGGGGTTTTATGATGGGCCTTGTAGGCCGATTTTTAGTTCCCCTTTGGGCTGATTTTATTTTAGTTTTTTCTATAAAATCTATATATAAATGTAAATTATAATACAATATAAATTATAATTTTTAAATCAAATTATAAAATCTAAATTATTTATATAGAATTAAAGAAATCTTAATTAAGAAATCTATATTTATCCAAAACGCACTTCATGGTATTATATTCCTGAGAAAATATTGATGTTTGGTAACACTAGAAAAATACTAGGTTAAAAAATACCACAAAACCTTTCAAAAATAGTCAACTTTTTTTTTAAGATTTCCTTTTTTCAAACACATTTAAGATGAAAATGGAATTGTTTTATAAAAACCATCAACTTTTTGAAACCTGCAACCATTTGTGGCACCTGATCATTAGGGAATTGTTTTTCATATCTTTGTTTGTGGGTGTATATGTATGTTTGTTGAGTGACACAACTGAAATTTAAAGTGCAACATCAATCACTGGTAAAAATGGGGACAGGACTTGTTTGGTTCCTTTAACACGGCTTCAAAAAAATTAAAAAGAGTCAGGATTTGCAACATATACGAGACTTTAATACACTTAAAATAATAATTGTTTAACCCACTTTATTATGATCATATGTCTATATAATTTATACATTTTCTTATACATTTTTCTTTTCTTTTCTATACGCGTTATTTTTTTATATTTTTACCAAAAAATAAAGAAATTGATCAAAGAATTATTACAAGGATGATTGTTGCTCCTGGATATAGAACTTATTCCTTAACTCCTACTCTCTAGTCGTTATCGACTTTCTAATTCTATATTCTATAGAAGATTCTTTTCTATATAGATTCTTTATGTATATTACCTTAGATATCACCTTAAATAAAAACATATTTCTCTAAACTATTTATAAATTTTAAAAATTCTTTTCCCAATTTAAAATTATAAAACTAAAAGACACATCATTATTAAGACATGAGGCCTCTTTTCGAGAGTCATTTTAAAAGATTATTCATGCTTATAGAAGTAATATATAAATTTAATATAATAAAATATCTGTAAAGCAGAGTCACTTACTTAAAACAAAATTAAAAATCGCAGAAAAGTGGACATAATTGTATAACTATTAATATATACCATTTAAATGTATATTTTATTAGAGAAGGCTCAAATATTCGTACTGCCAGTGTCTTCCTGTTGCTCAACGCCCACTGCCACGCCCACTATCGTCGGCCTCTACCTCCGCCGTCACTACCCTCCCTGAAAAAAGGATAACTCGAATTGTAATGACGCAACAATTTAAAGTTTGTCGTTGATGCTGCAAAACTCGGTGCTAATGGCGTCAGCGTCAACGTCTTTCAACTCATCTTTTTGGGAGAGTAGGTGGGTCTAACCCACTTCCATCTTCAACCGTTGCCACCGTCCTGCCGTTGCATCCTGCAACTTCAGCTTCTCATCTTTATCCTCATCCTCATCCTCATCCTGATCCTGTCCTGGGCGGGCATCTTGTTTTTGTTTTTGTTGATGACGGCGATTATTTGCGCCATGAACACATGGAAGCAGCTGCAAAAGGTGGCGTCCTGCCTGCTGCTGCGTCCTGCGTCCTGCATCCTGTTGTCCCGCATCCTTGTGCCATCGCATTTTCCAGCCCGCAAGGATGCAACCCAGTTCCTACCTTTTGGCCAGGTTGTCCAAGCGGAAATGTACTTAAGAAAACAAATGAAGAAGATTCCAATATTATCCTATAATATAATATTATATTTCTGGAGAATCATGATCATTCATGATGGTGACAATTGTAGAATTCTAATTCGAATAACCTTCAAAAATCAGTCTCTTCAAGTACCAGGTATGAATATTCTTTCTCTTTATTAAAATTTTATTAATTCTAACATATTTCTTTCACTGTATATAGTGTCTCTGTGTTCAGCAATTTCAACTTGAAGCTTTTCAAGTTAGAAAGAGATAGACTGCTTGCGTTAGAGCAAGATGGATAGATGCAGAGACACTTGGCAATACAAATTGAAATAGTTCTTCTTCTAGTCCAGGCATCTCTTTTGCAGTGAGTTTGACTGTTGCTCTGCAGGATGTATTAATATAAATGAATTATACGGATGAGACTCTCCTAGAGACCTCCATCTCTCTCTCTTTCTCGCTCGATGTGCCTGTCTCTTTCTAGCTTTCTCTGATAGATATTATGATGGATACGCCTTAACGATGCTGGCGACAAAAAGACAGACAACGAATCGAGCGGACCATGCAGCTTGTTGCCAAAAAACTTGGCCAAAAACTTTATGGCCAGGCAGTGGAGGAGGGGCGGGATGCGGTGAGGGAGGGAGGGCAACCAAATGGCCAGTGAAAGAGACGGCAATAAACACCTGACAGATGCGACAAAGTCAGCAAGGCAAAGAACAAAATAAATAAAAAATGGTAAGTATTTTTGGTTCCTTTTTTTTTTTATTTACTTTTAAGAATGATTAGAGAGGTTTAAGAAATATTTAAAAAAAATATATATATATATTATAGAAAGGTGACGAGCTCATACTTACTAGTGACAAATGCAATGTCATTTATTAAAAATGACATCTACGCTGTACATATTAGTATTTTAATATTTGCTGAAAAATGTCTTTAAAAAACTAAATATCCTATTTTCGTCACTAATATTTCCTCAGCCCTTGTAGGCAAATTCGTCACCTGAATTCCGTCTTTTTTAAAAAAATCTCTTCTATTTGATTAATAATGAAATTGAAACAAAGATGCTTAAACCTTCAACTTGATTGAATATCCTTAAGGAATTAAATTTATTTCAAGATGTTTTGGCCCATTCCAAAATATCCAAAAAACAAGTCTCCCAAACGGAGACTCCAAAATGCCCCCGAATATTGTGTGTGTGCCCCCGTGTTGCATACAATTTTGGCCATGGCCCTGGGGCGGTAACAGCAATTTGGACAAGTTTATTTATATGCAAGTACACCGAGTATGTGGCACAAACCCATACATACATATATACCTACATATGCGGCATTATTGCTGTTGGTGGCACGAGGGGTCTTAGTGGAAGTCGATGCAGCATCGGCAGCAGCAGCAGCAGAAGCAGCCGCAGCGTGTGTGGCGCATTGAAAAGGCGCTTGGGGCAAGTTCTGTGCTGTGTGCTACGCGCGCTCAGTTGCCAGCTAATGATATAATGAGCTAATCAATACAATTAATTAGCATTATCTGCATCTTAAACAGGGCCAGTCGTAGCAGCCACTGGAGGCCAAAGGCCAAAATGTTTTGGGGCAAGTACGGAGCGAGCCGGAATGCGGTTTATAAAGGGAGAAACGTGAAAAATTTATGAGATCTTTTCAAGTTTAAAATTTTTTAATAAAAAAGTTGATAAAGGTCTACCAAAATAAAAAAAATATATTTGAGTATAAAAAGGAGGAAAAGGTCACATTTCTGATAGACAGTGTGGCCTTGCTTATGGAAATTTTAAAAAATGTCGGACCTTTTTGTTTTAATCACAAAGTAAAATTTACAAAGTCATGAAGCAACAATACGTTCCATTTTTTTCTGTTCTAGAGGAAGTTTTACCTTTCCTTGAAAAAATTAGATCTTTTAAGAAAATATTTGACGGAAAAACCAGCATCATAAATATCAGTAAAATACCTATTTTTTTTATTAATTTTACTTTATTTTTACTAACAAAAAAAAAGTATTTAAGTAGCTTCTACCAAAGAAGTATATTTATATGGCTTAAGGTCACACTGTGTCTCCAAAAGCTCAGTCAGACCATGCTCCTTAAAAACGATCCTTAAATTAGTGCATTTTTTAGAAAATAAAAGCTTAAGCTAAAGCTAAATCAAGAAACCATATAAACCTCAAAATGATTAGCCATTTGAGCATCCAAGGTGTAAATTAGGCTGTTAGGTCTTTTAGAAGAGTGATGTCCATTGAAAAAATCTAGGACCTGGTGGGACCCAAGACCCTAGGAAATTATACGGAGGATAATGGGGAGACAGAAAGTAGACATCCAACAGGCGACGTCGGCACTTTTGGTCCACTTGGCCGGCAATTGGACCATTTCGGTGAGCGCTTCACAGCGCTCAAGTTGTCATGGGCGGCGGCGGCGACGACGACAGGGTGGGCGGGTGAGGGCTTGTAGGGTTGCCACCACCACAAAAAAAAAAAAAAAAAACGAGGACCAGTATCCCAACTGTGCAGGCAGGCAGCCTAGACTGCCAACGACATTTAGCCCACTTTTTACGCAGCAGCGGACACCCCAGGAATCCCCTAGTCGGGATTGAAGATGAATATCGTTGTCTTCAAGTTGGTCTCCTTAGATGTCCTGAAAAGTAAGATATAGGGGTATAGGGTTTGATAGATATACCAAAAAATAATCCAAATATTTAAACAAGTCCTGACCTATTTTTTGCTCGTAATTAATTGCCTTTTCCCAAAAATATTCTCCTTCAATTGAAATGCCAACTATAGAATTACAATAAAATTTATTCAACACAAATAGCATACTATTGACTAAATATGTATTCCAAAATATATATGTATTATTAATAACTTAAGTAGCTTTTGTGGCTACTATGCAATTCCATTTTGAATCACGAATTTAAAATCGAGAATTGGACCCAAAAATATGTAAGTATAATGTAACTACAATGCCGGAAAGCGAGACAATACCGAAAAAAATACAAAAATCTAAACAAAAATGTTGCCGGCCACTAAACGAAATTGCATTTTCTATTTGTAACAATTTTTAGCCACATTTTCCACACAAATACAGAGAGTTGTTGGCCTGGTTTTTCTATGTTGCAACTACCAAACTATTATTGTTGCATGTCATAAATGATGCTGCTAAAGAGTCAAGAATAATCCGCTTTTGTGTGCATATCACAATCAAATGGTAACCGAAATACGCACTAGATAACTATAAAAAAATACAACAAAAAAAATAGAAAAAAATCCAAGGAAGGACAAGATAAACGTTGAAGTACAGAGTCCACCATCCTTCCACAAAATCCAGAAATCCAGTCTCTCTGGGCAGTATATATGATATTTTGTAGCTTTTTTGCTGCTGCTGCAAAAAAAAAGGGGAATACCTGATGAGATATTCTCTTCACAAGGCAAATGGAAAATTACTGGATATGTGCGCACGTATATATATGTTTATATTCCCCATTGGGAATCTGATGCTTACTGTGTTTTTATGCCAAAATTCCATGGGGATTTCATGTGGGATTTTGGCAAGTTTTTGGTTATTAGGTTTTTGGTTTTTGGCTTGCAGGAAGGTATTACAAAATTTGTATATAAATGCAAGATACTGACTTTGGGTTTTGTGGAAAAACTAATTATTGTGGTTGCTAAGAAAATTAACAAAAAATTTAAGATCTAATTTTTATATTTTGTATTCTTTTTGCAGAAAATAATTGGTTTTTTTTTTGGGGAGCTGTTGGAAATACACAAGATTTTTAATAATTAAGGTAAGCCTAATGGAATATTTTCAATTATTTTGTACAAAAATGAATTACACGTTGTTGGTATTTTTCATATTATTTTAATTTATTTAAATAATTTATATGTATATTTTAAAACGTGTATGTTTTTGACTATGTTTTTGGTCAAAATTAAGGATCGTTTTTAATTTTTGGCTAACAGAAAGAGATGAAATAAAATATTTTTCTAAAAAATTATCAAAATTATAGAGAAAATGGATTTTTCTCAAAAAAAAGGGTTGAAATTAAAAAAAATGTGTCTTAAAATTTAAAATTATTAGCCATATCTGGTGTATATTAAAAAAATAGTGTAATGGCCAATGTCTCTGTAAGACCAAAGCAACAAAACAGAAAATATTACTGGCAAGATCATTAACCGAAAATTCCCCAAAAATCTCTTGGATATATTTCACCAAAAATTGCATACAACAGTGGGTGGTGGGTGATGGGTGGTGGGTGGTCAGAGGGCAAGGGACAGCAGCAGGTGGAAGGAAGGGGGGGCGGCAGTGGGGTCCTAGGGTCATGAGGAAGTTCCAAACAACATGGCGCAGCAACGCCAGCAACAGCAAAAATAACAACAACCACAAAAGGAACATCAAACGTTACAAGAACTGGGACGCAGGCACCAGACGCACACAAACAAACAAACCTTATACAGAGTACAGAGAAAGAAAAACTTGTTGAGTTGGAATTAATAAAATAACTTTTTTTTAAAGAAAATTATAAATTAAAATAATAGTTTTGCTGTTTTAGTATTTTGTAGTATATTACTAATACCATATTACCCCTTGTATTAGAAATATGAAGTTTAAATAACACAACTCTATAAAAGTAGAATAAATTTAATGTTTAATTCATTCAAAATAATGATTCTTAAATAATAATAACATAATAAATTTATCCACATAAAAAATGAATATTTTAAAATGTATTCATTATAAATATATAAATAAAATAAATATAAATAAATATATAAATATTTAAATTTAAATAGAAATATATTAAATTTTCTCTCAGTGCAAATCCTTAGCCCTCAAAGCACACCAAACAACAAAAGCAACAATGCAAAGAAATCAACAGTAACACATACTTGCCACAAACACACACAAACACACGCTTACACACACACTTACACA